CTAAATCCGAATGCTTAGTAAATTCGAGAAAATCTCTGAGCTCGGATTTACAAAATCCGAATTTCCCCTGTTTCTCCTCAAATTTCAACTCTCGGATGCTTTTCACAAACACGGATTTTCTAAATCCGAGTCCTTAGTAAATTCGAGAAAATCTCTGAGCTCGGATTTATAAAATCCGAATCTCCCCTGTTTCTCCTCAAATTGCAACTCTCGAATGGGTTTCACCCATTCGGATTTCGGAAATCCGAGTCCTTTGCAATTTCAAAAAAAACTATGAGCTCGGATTTCTGAAATCCGAATGCTTCACAAAACCTTCAATGATGAGTATTTTGCACAATCCGATTTTGATTATGAAAAATAGTACATATTTCATCACACTTTACAATATGAAAAATTCAATGTTCACATTACAATCCGAATTTATCAATGTTCCCATAAATTTATCAAACACTAAATAACTTGCAAGAACAGTAAATTACACACAATTCCAGCTGTCATTCACAGGTCTTCTATCTACTCCTGGGTGCGAGAACGGACATGAATTGGCATCATCACCTAGTTGTCCACATCTCCAACATTCCCCACGGCTCCGGCGTCCCCTGTAATCTATTTGCATACTATGTCTCCTTTTTTGTCTTCGTCCCGGTCCCGCATGCAACACAAGACGCTCATAATTCGGAATGATGTTCCAACTGACCATCGGCCATTGTTCCGCATCGGGAACCGGAACAAAGCCCGTGTAATGAAATTGTCTGCGCCACGTTGGAAGGCGCTACACACTATGGTATAGATCAATAGGCCGATCCCCTTTTCTCCGACAAACTTGGAGTGCGTGCGTACAAGGCATCCGGTACTCTTGCCACTTCCTGCACGAACACCTATGTTCATCGTAGTTCACCGTATGCAGAGACCCACCCCTGCCACTTAGGCGTGTGGCAGTAACAACACGCCACATAGCATCATCACCATCGAAAGGGGTGGCTTCAAAACTGGCTGCTTTATCATTCATTTTCTCGTATTTTTTCCATAACTCAGGAGGGATCGGTGTCATGCAATTTCTCGTAGACAATTGTTCTTCTCTATAGAATTTGACAGTTTTGCGAAAGGTTGCATCGATCAAGGCTCTAATTGGTAAAAAACGGATCCCTTTCAACGCATTGTTGTAACTCTCAGAAATGTTGGTTGTCGCTATGCCCCAACGGCGAAGACCGGCTTTCAATCGAGCCCAGTTACTCCCCCCAATCCCTCAAAGATACTCCCATGCAGCAGGTTTGAATTCAATAAGCTCTGCCCTCATACGGTTGTATTTCACTCTTGAAAGCGTCGTGCCCATCTTCCAACATAACCGCTTCACCTTTTTGCTATTATATCGCAACACAAGATTGCTGCGAACGTGGCGGAGGCAAAGAAAGTGCCCACCATCACCTAAATCACGCCATTCATCCATCTGTGACATTGCGCTCAACAACCCTACATTCCGGTCGGATATCACACTTACGATTCTATCATACCACAACCTCAAATTCCTCATAAAAAATGTCCAACTCTCTACTGTCTCCTCATCAACAATCGCAAATGCAACCGGTAAAATGTGCTTGTTTGCGGTATACACCACCGCAACAAGCAATTTACCCTTGTATCCACCACGCAAAAAGGTTCCATCGATACAAATGACCGGTGGACATTCAAAAAACGTCTCAGCCACCGGTGCAAATGACCAGAAGACGTATTTAAATGTCCGGTTTCCCCTGTTCCAACCTTCTTGTCCCTCCTTCCATTCCCACTCTATTACAGTCTCAGAATTAGTAAACTTAAGCGCAGCGATATACCTAAACAACAACAAGTCATTGTTAAAATATTTCAATACATGTAAAAATAAAAATATTATAAATATTTCAATACACGGATAAAAGTTGATATTTACCGTGGAAGTTCTTCGAAATTGGAGGTCCAATCACCATAGACCGCTTCTATGGCTTTCCTCTTCCTGTGCCACGCCCTTTTGTATGGCACATCTACTTTCAATAAGGTCTTCACATCTTTCTGTGCCGAGGCTACCGTATAATCTACGTTGTCCTCAACCTTTCTCCTGATGAGTCTAGCAATCAAAGACGCGTCCACACACCGATTGTCATTATCATTCACAGAGTCATGCAATTATGTGCATCATGCCATCTCACAATTTCATGAAGGCCGTGAGCTTTCAATGACACACGCATCTTCCACTCACATGGTGGTTCACCATCCTCACTTTCCACATTAAATGTTCTGCACCGCATGCCCCACGTCCTTGGACTACTCGCGGCGACCGTATATTCCCTTTTATGATGGATATTCCATAATTTCACAGCATGCTTTGCTTCTGATTGAGATTTGAAACAAACACCAATGTCCATTCCTTCGGGCGTCTCATCCCACATCTTAAGAGCAAACTCATCCTTGTCTACACATGAGGCATCCCAGTTCCCCATCTTACTATATACATGGCGTCGGGCGAATAGATTACAATCCCTTTCCTCATTTTCCAACCTTTCATCATCACTTTCTTCAAAATCACTCTCTCCGGAGACATCACAGTCTTCTTCGCTTTCACTTGGAGCTATGTAGTCGGAATCCGACTCTTCCCGGTAGTCATTTTGTGCAAATAAAGGTGTCTCCTCTTCATCACGGTTTCGAGAAGTACTAGCACGTTCCCCCCTTCGAAAATCACCAAATGACACGTTTTCCAAACTCGCTTCTCTTTCTTCTTGAGTGATATCTTTCAAATCTATGTATAAATCCAAACATGACATTGGATCTACACGGTTCATGAACTCTACATGCGAATCATTCTTGATCTTCACTACATGCCTACCACCGGGACTATCGAAAATCAAAGAAAGGTGGAGTTTCACGTGTGCTGGATCCCAACCAAGGGTCATACAAATCTTACTAATCAATCCCTCATATGATAACCTTTCTTCGACAAACAAACCATCATCCGGCATATTCGAAAAAGTGTTGATGCTACCGTTCTCTATCACATACTTACTTGTATGATACAAATTAAGCATGTATGATACATTACGTGCCATTGATAACTGTTAAAAAAAACATCAATAACTAATTATTTCTTAATAACAAAATCAACAAAATACACCATACATTCTCTAAAATACACCATACACTATACATACTCCAACAAATACACCATACTAAAATACTTATAAATCAACTTCGATATCTCATGAACAACTATGATTTCTCATCTCTAACCTCAAAATCAACACCTAAAACATCCAAACAACCAACCAACATAAACCCTAATCTATCATACATCATTCTAACAATCAAAATAACACAAAAATAAACTAAATAACATGGTTTTGCAATCTAACCTCTTTCAAATAACAATTTCCACGTATCTAGAGGCAAGAATGCATCAAAAACTTCAATTCGCCCTTGTTTGAGCTGCAAAAACAGAAAATCCAACTCAGTTCTCGAATGAGAACTGCCTGAAATTTTTTTTATTTTATAACACGTTAAACTCGGATTTACGAAATCCGAGTCCGTAAGTAACTCGGATTTTCGAAATCCGAACTATGTTATATTCGGATTTCATTAATCCGAATTTAGTCAATTCAGGATTATTTTATTAATTTTTTGGTCCTCCAATTTAAGGCACATGCCTACTTCCACCAACCAAAATTAAAGGCATCCGGATTTCTAAAATCCGAATTCGTCAAACCGGATTACGGACTTCCGATTTTTTGGATTCAAAAATTTCGCGCCGCGATTTATTAATTTTTAACTAAACTCGGATTCTACAAATCCGAGCTTTACTGTTCATTTAAGAACTAAAAAAACTATTATTCAACAAAATTTATGAAATTATTATTTTATTATTAAGTATGAATCCGGATTTGCAAAATCCGAATCTCTAATATTAATCAAAACTCAGATTTCAGAAATCCGAGCAATATATTTCTGTCCACAAATATTCTGAAAAATTTAAATTTGTCCACGTTTATTTTATTTAATTTTTTTTGGGAAAAGACCCAAGGATGAAACTTAAAAGAAAATGCATAACAATTAAATGAAAATAATAATAGGAAATTAGGTAGCCAGCCGACGGAAAATTTGAGGTGGCCCCCAGTAAATAACGGGACAGGTTTTTCTTTTTCCTTTTAGATATAGCTCAACTACGGATGATTTATTAATAAACTAAAGAAGCCTTTGAGTAAATTATTAAAAATGAAAAAGGGAAAAAAAGGAAAACGAGGAAAAACGGGGAAAGCTTTTGAGAGAGGAAGAAAAAACAGAGCTATCCTAAAGCATTGTAATAGAGAAAGTAGCATTGTACATATTCGAGTTTTGATAGTAATACAAGTTTACCATTTTACCAAAAAAAAAAAAGAAATTAGATTCGATTCGAACAGGGAGCATAACCTAAAGCTTCAATTCACCAAGGAAGCCTTAATAAAATTTTTATTTTTGGGAATAGAAACACGTCATCAGATACTAATAAACTCCTTTATACATAATATCCCCACGCCAGAATCTTCTTGTTCTGCGTGCACAAGAGAAAATTAACAATTTCAGGGGTTGACTTGTATGGTTAGGGCAGCAAAACAAAACCAGATTCAGTACAGTTATTATTAAAAAAAAAAACACAGCGGGATTGACAAAGCTTCCCTAGGTTTTTCTTTACACCAGTGCTTCCTGGTATCCAATTGAACTGCGTGATGAGAACCCATGTCTAAAACATTAATTTTTGTTCAGAAATAAGAGCTCGTTTGCTCTTTTAGCTTCTGCTCCTTCTCTCTCATGTATTTTTGAGGAACTTCACCGGGTTCAATCATTTTCTTGGTTGACTCTTTGGCTTTTACATGTTCACACATGTTTCAAAGTTCAAACCCAAAGCTTCATTTTTCATTATTATCTGGGGACTATATTATCCGGACTCTTCTATTTGCGGAGAATACCCGTGTCATGTCGTGTCGACACTGGTGCGGGTATGAGTGTCAACTATGGCATTTTAGCCTAAAATGTCCAAGATTTCTAAAATATTGACGAGTCGCACACTCAGATCCCCGCACCCGATACGACACCCGTAGACGAGTCCAGGCAACATGGGACACTGATGCAGGAGTATTTCATTTCCATTTTCTTCACTATTTTAATTCTGCTGGAATTTTTCGTCCTCTCGCGTAAAGTGTTCTTTTGAAAAAGAAAATAACTATGAGGGTTTGTTGAGGTGGATGCATCAATTGCATCATAATGCATTGCTGCCTTTCACTAAATAGTAGTGATATAAATCCTTAAGATACGTTACAAGGGCAGGCCTCTTTCTTTAAATATTTTAATCACTTGTATTTAATTTCTACATTCTTTTGTTAATAGTTCTTTAGCGTGTGAGTCCGGACGAGGATTGGACAGACGCCTTTCTGAGGTTTTGCTAAATGGAGCGGATTAGAGGACGCTACACTTTTCCTTTTTCTTGTTGACTTTTCTTCACTGAATTTAGACATATTTTCCAAAGAAAACACACCCAATAAAGCCCCACATATATTTTTCATTGATTTTTTCCGTTTGCGTGTGAACCCTCTATATCATCACATATGCATGAATCAATTTTTTCATGCATGTGCAGGGTAATTAATCATGTATAGGAATAATCATCCATCATCATCGGATTGGAGATGATTATGGAAGGCAATGATCGAAACCCTTTTCTCAATTCGATGAGGGCGAGTTTAACAAGGCCGCCTTCATGGGTGATTTCGTGGGTTTTCTTCGCCGTATTGATCATCTTAACCATTCAAATCACCAACAAATCGGTTTTCCAGGTTCATCCCCTGTTTTTTGGTTTTTCCGACGAACAGGCCGGCGGCATCCGCGGCGGTGATGACACGGCGATGAAGACTTGTTCTGGGTTCTTCAAACCGGTGCCGGAGAGAAAAGTGGTGAAATCCATCGTGGAGTTCGGCGGCGTCGGGGATGGGAAAACGTCGAACACGGCGTCGTTTAGGGCGGCTATGGCGGATATGGAAAGGTTCAAAGGTAGTGGTGGGGCGACGTTGATTATTCCTAAAGGGATTTGGCTTACTGGGAGTTTCAATCTCACCAGTAATTTCACACTCTTTCTAGAAGAAGGTTCTGTTATTTTAGGAAGTCAGGTAAATTCCACATTTAACCTTTTTCAACTTAAATTTCACATGTCAACTGTTTATAAAATTACTTTTACTTTTGGAAGGATAAGTACTCTAGCTAAAATGGTTTTCATATTCAGTACTACCTCCGTTTAAAAAAAAATAAAAATAAACGTTTTGAGATTTGTACTAATTTTAATACAAAATTTAAAAACTCAATGTGGAATGGAGAATATTTTTACTGTGCCGACAGTATCTGGCGGCATATTTTTTGGGTTAGTAAAAAAGCATAGTGACAAATCTGTCTTTGTGGTTGGCAACCATTTGCTTGGAAATGGCTGGAAACAGCATTATGAATCTTTCTAGATTTTTAGTTTAAACTTTTGAGTAGGAAAAAGAAGTCTTTCTGTTTAGCATCTTTTTTTCTGGCTAAAACCGAGTTAATAAAATGAAACACGGAACACCTTTGGGTTTGGAAGAAAGTAGGTTTGTGGACGTTGGCCGGTTGATTTGGCTTGTTTTGGCAGTTCATATGGTAGTATCTTAAACTATAATCCTCCAAGTTATTAAACTTCAGAAAACTGAATTTTGTGTCTAAATTCATTCGGGGGTTTTAAGTGTGATGCGACGCTGATTTGTGAATGGAAACTAGCTAGTTTGATTTTTTACAACCCCTTTCCGTTATTTTATTTTGATCATCGACCTTGAAATGTACTTTTGTAGGATATTCAACTTTCGTTTTTTAAAAAAAAAATACACAAAAGACACTATCATCATTGTATCAACACATACAGTGATGTTCACCAAACTTTTTCCCCACATTGCACTAGCTTGGTGATCACTAAATAAATCACTTCCAGTGTTAGCGAGTCATGATTTAATCCTCTAAACCAACTCAAAAAAAAAAAATTTCAAATCATTCAGAAGATCATATTTCAATAGTTATTTAATTTTCAAAAACAGAAGAGAGAGAGATTAAAAATTCAATTTTCTTTTGTCCCTAGTCTCAATCTTCAATCAATCTTTAAATCCAAGACAATTAAGTCCAAAAAGTCATACTCATTCATATTTAATGCTTGTGGTTGAGACTGAGACTGCAAACCTAAAACTTAACTTTTCCACTATAATCTTGTTTGAATGAATGGATTCATTAGACCAGTCACTTGACATTTTGTTTCGTCAAGTTGGAAGTTGTTATCATATTAGCCAAGTTGCCATTAGCCCTTGAGTTTACTTCTTCCCCTTACTCATCTCCGATTCACAGTGTATACTTTTGAATTCATTTTGAAAAATGTGTTATTCTCATCATTTTAAAAATAAAATCATATTATTGTCGCGTGATAGCTAGGATTATTCCGTTTGGAGTTGAAGGAGTAATTTTCCTTGAATTTATTTTTCTTTGGCCATGTTAAATTTTTTGTGATTTTTTTAATTAATTTTTTTTTTTTTTTTTTGCACATAGTGATCCAACATCATTATGTTCATCATCATTGAGAAATAAAATATTTTTTAAAAATCTTTAATCTGTACTTGAAGAAGTTTAATTAATTTCTTCTTGTTATAGGATCCAAGTGAGTGGCCCATTGTTGAGCCATTGCCTTCCTACGGAAGAGGACGAGAAAGACTTGGAGGAAGACACATAAGTCTGCTTCATGGAAACAACCTAACCAATGTTGCCATTACAGGTAATCTTACTCAAACTTTGACTACTCCCTCCATTCCAAAATTAATATCCAGTTTAAAATTTTACTTTTAGTAAAATTTGAATTAAAAATAAAAATTCAAATTAGACAATAATTTTGGGACGAAGGGAATATTATTATTGTGTTTACCAACAAAAATCACCATTAAAAAAATAAGACATTATATGTACATTAATTAATCATTCTCATCTAATAAAATCGACAATTACAGAATGTATATTTCTTCACAACCATCATTCATAGATGTATATTCTTTGAGATGTAGGTCAGAATGGGACAATTGATGGGCAAGGAAAGATGTGGTGGGATCAATGGTGGAATAGAACATTGGAGAACACCAGAGGCCATCTCCTTGAACTCATCAACTCCCACAATGTTCTCATTTCAAATCTCACTTTTCGTAATTCTCCTTTCTGGACCATCCATCCCGTTTATTGCAGGTACACCTTTTTCTTGTAGGAGTATTATTTTTCAGTTATATTTCTGGTTATTGTATACTTCCCCCGCTCAAAAAAGAGATAGTCTATTTTATTGTACATGTTCTAACTTTCAAGTTAAGCATGTTTTAATTGTCTACGATGCAGTAATGTTGTTGTGAAAAATATGACTGTATTGGCTCCTCTTAATGCTCCCAATACGGATGGAATAGACCCAGGTATAATACCAAAATCTACCATATTGACAACCTCCTTTTTTTTTTCTTTTTTCTTGGTGTTCTTTTTTTTTTTTTTTTGGTTGGACTATTTATTTATGCGTGTCAAAACATGCTAGTTAATTTTTTCTAGGGTTCAGTAATGATACTTATCTCTACTAAGACCATAATTCTATAGCATCTATGAAGGAAGGATTTTAATTAGTGAAGGCAAATGCTGGAAACATAAATTCTTTTTCAAAGGGCAAAATTAATCTGATAATCTAATTATGTAAGAATGTTGGAGGAAAAAAAAAAGGAAAAAGAACAATGGATCGAGAAGTGATCAAGGAATTTGGGAGTAGTGGAAGGCTTTCAATTATACAACAATAACAAAATATCCAATATATTTCCAACTCGAATAGGGTCTAGCAGTAATGATATACACAACCTTACTCGTGTATTTCAATACAAAAAAGTTGTTGGAATATAATCCAAGAATTTTAATCATGCACTAGGTAATATTTTAGTTCAACAAAGTACGTGCTTTGTTGCTCAAAGACTCTTTTATCTCAAAACAAAGCACCCTTCTTGTTCCTTGAATGTCCAATGCTTTCATTGGATGCTAAAGACGCAGAACTTTCAATTTCTTCAAAGTGGTGAAGAATTAGGAGATAAATATAAAATGCCAAAATATTTTTGGAAGAATGGGCATGTTTGAGACATTGAGCAAACTAGGAATGGCTTAAGAGATGGAAGATGAAAGGATTATGCAATGTGTGGTATACATTGGTGTACGTTTTGCCAAATTCTTTATGTCCATTTACAATTTAAGTTCGATGTCATCATGCGCCCATATTTGGTGGTATACATTGGTATACCTTTTGCAAAGAGATAATGCTATGGCCAAATTCTTTGTGTCCATTTACAATTTAAGTTCGATGTCATCGTGTGCCCATATCGTTTTGTTCAACCAAAACCCAACAAATGTTTAATTTTGTCTTATTTCTTTTGGCTGCATACGCGGAAAATAAACTTTTTCTAAAAAATTTGTAGTAAATAACAAGTTTTATGAAGGCCGTTCAAGAAAACAATGTCCATTGTGTGTCAAAATAATTATCATGTTCGTTATGTTGATAATAATGAAAAAAAAATTGGATAATATTTGATGGAGTATTATTATTGGAAGGAAGACCATTCGCGCACGTAGAATCTAATGATCTTTACCTAGTCAGAAATATTTATTCCAAAATTAGTGGTATTTGAGAAGATTACTCTCAGTAAGACCCTTTTCTTTGCCTTACAAATTTCATTACAGGGATTAATATTTTGCTCCTGCACATGGTTCACACTCTTGTACTAATTAAAATCGTTTGCCTTTATTGTCATAATATATTAGCTTTCATTTTGCCGATTAGATGGACCTAAGTTAAAATTGTTAGACGAATTAGTCCAGACACGTATATTAACACTATTTTGAGATCAGAATCCGGTCATAGGTCTGTCCGGTAATAATCCATATACCATCAAACTAAACTATCAAAGTGAACTTGCCTTACTTGCACAAAACTGAAATTTGGATTGTCGTGAAATTTGATTGATAACAGATTCAAGCACCAATGTATGCATTGAAGATTGTTATGTTGAGAGTGGGGATGATCTTGTAGCGGTGAAGAGCGGTTGGGACCAATACGGTATCGCCATTGCTCGTCCGAGCTCAAATATCGTCATCAGAAGAGTTTCCGGCACAACTCCGACCTGTTCAGGCCTTGGAATCGGTAGCGAGATGTCCGGCGGGATCTCGAACATAACAGTGGAAGATATGCACATCAGGAATTCGGCAGCTGGCGTCCGGATCAAAACCGACCAAGGCCGCGGAGGTTATATCGAAAACGTCACCATAAACAACATATACATGGAGAATGTGAAGATTCCGTTGAGATTCAGCAGGGGAGCAAATGACCATCCTGACGATGGATGGAATCCGAAAGCTCTACCCAAAATTAAGGGCATCGTTATAAGTAACGTGGTCAGCTCGGGGACGAAGAAACCGCCGTTGCTGGAGGGCATCCAGGGTTCTCCCGCTGAAGGTATTTGCATGAAAAATGTTAGTATTCTTGGCCTTTCTCCGTCACTCAAATGGCACTGCGAATATGTGTCTGGTTTTAGTTTTCAGGTTTTTCCTGAACCTTGTGATCATTTGCGGAAAAACGACTCTACATTTTGGTGCTCTTCGAATTCTTGAGTTAGGTAATAGATTTTATATATGTTAACGTAGATTAGTGCTCATGGAATAGCGATAGTATTGCTTCTTTTTTAAAAAAAAAAAAAAAAAAAAATTGGTTCCATTTCTTTGGAGAGAAAGAGGGCCAATTGTCAATAGTTTAGAAAAGAGAGAGAAAAAAAGTTCTTGAGATGCAAGAATTAAAATTATAAATTTAATTATTATTCTCCACATTGGAGGAATTTGCAGTAATACTTGTCCAATGCTATGCTGTAATTCCTTTTCCAAGTTCCAACTAACGAAGTTTAGATTACCAAAAGAAGAAAAAAAGGATGAACGAAGTTGAAGTGAGAATATCTTCATCCACAGTTATCCAATTTAGATTTTACTTTTAATATATATATATATATATATCCTACTATATTAGAAACAAAAACCTCCCTTTCAAACACCTCATATGATTGCCACGTGACATGTATAAAATACTAAATTGCCCTGTTGTCTAACCATAACTAAATTACTAAATCTCCCTTTGCACTTTACGTGACACTTTTTTTTTAAAATTTTTTCTTTATGTTTCATTCAACTAGAGTGGTTTTTTAAATTGAATTGATCAATTAGGTTTTTTGTTACAAAGTGTCAATTTTGTTTTAAGCGTATACCCTTCGGATGAAGCTTATTACAAAGCTATTAAAAATCTCCAAAACTAAGTATTGATTTGGCACGACCAATGGAGAACATCAATAAATCATCTTACTAATATTTAAATTTATTAGGATGCTTTTATATTTTATCTAACATTTACTTCAACACATATATTCGATTAAGCTATTTATATTTAATAAGTAACACTTATAAAACATTTCTAAAACATACATGGCGAAATACAATTTATTTTTTTTTTTTTGCGAAATACAAATATTTCTATGATTACACTTATAAAACATTTCCAAATCTTTCAAACGTTTCTAAAATTATATCGCTCTAAATACAAAATTTTATTTTTTTTCAAATATAAACATTTCTACGATCTACAGATAGACTGGGCCAGGGTCGCGCATTGCGCAACCAGACATCACTAGTATATATTATAGGCTATGTTATTGCGTTTATTACCAAAATCATCTTTCATGAACTATCAACAACAATGTAATAAATCCGTAAACACACTAATAATAACTTTGCGTGACTTTGTTAAGATTAGCCCATGATCAATTTTTAATTAATTTTTAAAAAATATTGAATCATAGAAATAATCATCAATATTAAAAATGGGCAAGAAAATATTTCTCATTTAATATGCTACATGAGGTATCAATTCAGAGAACTCATCGTTATGCTAATTCCATTGACTAAACCCAAAATTTTTCACATTTTAAAAATATATATATGTTTTCAACTTTTTTTTAACCACTAAAGACTATCTTTTCATAATTTTTTTTTTTTTCAGAAATGCCTTGAGTAGAATTTAAGAAATAATCATTTTTACTTTATTTGTGGGAAAAAAAAAACAGAAACCACGAAATTTTTTAATTTGTTTATTCAATTTATATAATAGCTACATATTATTTAAAATATCCCAACATTTTCCCATTTTTATTCTAAATTAAAAATCCAAATTGGTTACAGAATTCAAAAAGTGAATAATCTCTTAGCTATTATCTTGTAATTAATATTATTAATATTATGACTACGTGGTCAAAACAATTTTTTTTAAAAAAAAAAAAAGATGAACATGAAAGTTTACAAAAATGATAAAGATTCTGTGTCATATTTCGTGTGTAACACATTTTATAACATTGCCTAGAAAATAAGATTGACACATAACCATCTTCCACGTTTTGTAAGAATAATACTTCCTCCGTCCCATAATTATTGTCCAGTTTTACTAAAATAAAAGATTTTATTTTTGGTCAAATTTAACTATATTTTATCTTAAACAACCGGATATACCCCTACATAAGTAATTGTTTAGCCACTAAGATTTTAAGGATAATGTTTTTTACTAAGGACAAATATGTAACTTAATCCATAAAAAGTCAAATTGGACAATAATTTTGGGACAAAATTTTTTGGGCAAAGTGGACAACAATTATGGGACGGAGGGAGTAATAAAAATAATTTCTAAGATGTTTTCTAAATTGACCGAATCTGTCTCTACGTTTTGATGTTTTCTAAGATACGGGTCAAAAATAATAATAATAAAAAGGATTGACTCAATAATATGATGAATGATTGGAGTGGATAGGTGGAAGGGGTAATTATGGTAAATTAGGTAGTATTTTAAAATTAATAAAAATAAAAAATTAAAAAATAAAAAATAAAAAATTTTAAGAAGGTATCGAGTGTTTGAAGAACGACGATTTTTCTCCCATGAAAACTTACAAATTGGGTAGTATTTTAAAAATTAAAAATTAGAAAATAAATAAAAAATTTAAGAAGAAGATACCGAGTGTTGAAGAACAACGATTTTTCTCCCATTAAAACTTACAAATTGGGCAGGTGATCCCACAACGATAATAAATCGAAGTTAGCTATACCATAAATTATCTGAATCCTAAAGCAAAAGAAAAATGGCACATTGAAGTTTCGAATATTCATAAATGTCGATATGCTGCTTATGAACATAGTTAGACCCAGCCAGTAAGGCCAAATCTGTCAGCAAGATTGTACATTACTAACTGATCCCAAACATGGCCGAAGAGCTTCTCTCCACCAAATGCAAACGTAAAAGCCCAGGACGACAGGAGAGCGGAAAATACCAGGAACCCAATGGCTGATCCCACTACATCTGCAACAAAAAAGTCATTAATATCACAAGCAATGCAGAAAAGTTTAGGCATTAATAACAAAGGACTGAATCCAGCTCTTGAACAAAAGAGGAAAAAACAAGGAATTTGACTACTTGTTACCTGCCCTACTCATTAACATGGAAGTTGTTTTACAGAGATGATTAAGGAAACACACTCCTTAATCTTGTTTTTCAGTGATTTGCACAAGCAAGCAAACTAGTTTGATAGAAATATTCCAAGTTTTCCTGAGAACATCACTTAACAGATATACTTGTAACACAGATTCAAGTTAATCTACAAACTTATAGATCTACTAAGACATCCATCAATCCCAGCTCCAGGCTGAAGCATCTCGTAAACAGATAGTTTATTTTATTTTCTACCGGCCTACCCCTCAAGTATTCCGCATCGCCCTATGCTTCTGACAGGAACACAAGGGAAAGGTGCTCTTGCAGGGAAAGCGAGTATGAAAATTTACAAAAACTTTTTCTGTAGGTACCTAAGATCTAATGAACCAAAATAACTTAGTCGGCCTACTCATGCGTCATGATTATATTGACGTTGCTTGGAAGAGTTTGTCCTCTAGGTATTACTACTTGGACTGAGATCTTAGCATGTGTATACATTAAATTTTATTCCAGTCGCATTTCAATTTTCTAACATTGTTGAAACCCTTTAAAAAAAAATTTAGTTCCTACTACAACTCAAACTACGACTACTAAAGCTTTATCCAGCCATGAATCAGCTGCTTAGATCATAATGTCCCGCCCCACCATGTTCTATCAACCACGTCAATTTTTACTACAGCTTATTCCAACGATTTCACCATCTATTATAAGCAATCAATATTGTCACCAATAGGGCAGGGCCTATTTAAACCATAGACCTTTTGATCGGAAAAGAAGGGACCTATCAGCCACCTCCTCAATTATTTTTACCATAGGAAAACAAATGTACTCCATTTTACCGTAATATGGCAACTACTAGATGTAAGGCTGACATAAAAAGATGCAAGTAACATCAAAAAATTTCAAGATGGTTGAAATCGAAAAGGTAAACAAGAACTTTGAAGACCAAGTAATTCGTAACAGAAGAAGAAGCACAATTTTCAGCAATGTTGTCAGAAAAAATAAACCCACCACTGGATAACTGAGATAGTAATATCATATGCCCAAGAAGCAAAATGTGGTAGTAGTTTTGCCGAGGGGTAAACCAGAATACCAGATCATTACACATATAACTAGCTACTGCAAGCACTAGTTCGCCTCAAATAATTTAGAGAATGCAACTGCAAAATGGTTAGTTGCTTCAGATGTTTCAGAACATGGCTAAACTTCTTCCAAGTTCAAGCTCTTACCTACAAGCTCAGAATGTTCTACAGCAAATACTTAACTTGTAAATGTGAACGACAATAAAATAGGATCTGTCTGGCTGAACCTCTTCTCATCAGAATCATGAAATAATGAACCATCAAGCAATGTGAATGCATGTGAGATGAGATTGCAACAACAGTCGAATCATACCAGAGAAGGGACCTCTGTCTTCAAACATATGGGTTGGACATTTTAAGCATGAAAGTTCTGGAATTAAGAGCACCACACCTAAGGCCACGAGATGCATCTTAACAGTTTAACAAAATCTCCAGGACAGGCTAGCTTAAAATCTGAAATCAGAATTAAACATTTATCGCTAGAAGAACACTATTATTGAACAGAACATAAGGAAAGAACATTTGTAATCTATAAATTGAATAATGACAACCTTTAGGGATCATTAATCAAGATTTCAAAGGATTGTTCAAGAAGTTTAGATTTTTCGATATGATGACTAGAAATGAAAGTTTATTTCCATTTCAACAATGTGAAAGTACCCCTAACAGTGGGTTAAGACAGCTACCAGAAACTAATAGAAAACAAAATAAAAAGCAGAGAGAAACAAGAAATTTTTAACTTTCATTTCTGACTTGCCAACCAAATTACTATCACGATGAGCATCCAGAAAACATTGGGAAACATGATGCAAGTAACCTAAAGCAATTACCAAGAGATCCACACCATAACTACTTAATCATTCTGACTTTTCATCATTACATTGTCGCCGAAATTATCATCTAACGCTCACAGTAGCTTCTGCGATTTCACCACCAGACATCTGTTTAAGAAAATGATGCTATGTTCTCCTTTTCGAGGCAAAACAAATTAACTATTTACCTGCTAAAGAAAAGCTAGAAGTAGAGCTGACAGCCAAAACACATCTAACAATGCTTTCTGCTTTAGAAAATTGCGTCCTACTAGATCTAATAAGTGTATGAAAAATTGCATAGCACTAAATGCATCTACCAAGTACACACAGTTGTTACAAGTTGTTTGCAATGAATCAAGAATTTAAAGGGAGACCCAACAACCATAATCAGAGTGCTATAGACGGCTATGGGGTAGGCAGATAAATAACATCCAAGCTTAGATCATTTTCCTCAGAGCAAAACCCTAACTCCACACTGACAATCATTTGCTACGCATGTAATCTAAACTATGGAGCTCCAATAAATTGGAAATATACAAACCGATGCATACAACCCCAGCATACGAGTATGGAACAAAAGTTTAAGAAATAATGGTCTTCTTACACAGAGCTGTCAATCATACAAAATAGGACTATCAAATTAAAATGAGTGCATGGACTACTTCATAAAAAGAAGAGATACAAATACACTAGTTTTGTTCCTCCTCCCACACTTTAGTAGAACCTGACAGTGCGGGGCAGTATAGAAAAAATATATAAATTCAAAAGAAAGACCACTCTAGTAAACTAAATCACAATGACGCTTCAGTGCGATAATCCCAGAACTTAAGGATGTAAAAGTTTAGCTTTAATTCAAGAAGCTTCTAAATAAATAACAATCACACAGACTTGAAAAATTAAAAATCAAGGAATGCCCAGAGTGGGACCTGTAATAAAAGCATCCCTACTAAAAACAGTTAATGAAAAAAGAAAAATTAAAGAATCGGTTTGCCAAAATGCACATACTACATCATTAGGGATTTTGTTAACCAAAGTTAAGAAGCAAGTCAAGTTCATCGTAAAAGGAAAAATACAACAAAACCCACCAAAAGCTAACGGTAACCAACATTTCACACTTGATTGTGCCGCAAAAAAATCAATTAAATAATTCATGAAAGTATGAAAGGATCGGAATCCTTACAGTAACGGAGCTGAGGATGATTATGGGAAGCGGGTTTGGAGAGAACTGGCCAGAAATAGAAGCAATTGACAGCCCAGAGCCATGGGAGCAACAGAAATCCGAACTGGAAGAATTTACGAGCCTGGCCTATAGAATCTTCCACGGAAAGCCCCAAAGGTCCATCAATGGTGGGAAATTCAACCGCTCCCCTCCGCCTGGTTCTCGATGATACAGATGAGGGAGCTGCTTCAACACTATCATTACGATCAACGATGGTGTCTCGGATGGTGACGGGGAGAATGGGGAGATTAGGATCAGAAGACGGTGCGTCACTTGACGACTCCATTGTTGTTTCTCTGAAGTGTGTCACCTGGGCTTTTCTCACTATGGAAGTCCTTCAAATTTTGTATTTTGTCCTCAAAAAGACATTAGTAATACACCACAAATTTTGTTAATTTATAAAAAATAAAAAAAGTTTTTCTTTTTTGTTGCTGAGATACTTTATTTTAATCAGTACATAATCTCAAGGTTAGTAAAAGTAATTCACCCAATCCGTTTAAGAAAAAAAAATATGTAAGAGATAAAGAAAATGTTTGGTTCCACAGTCATTTTTTCCTCACAATTTTGATACTATTATTACTGAGTCACATAAGTAAAAGGATTTATATGATGATAATAGTCATCTCATAGGCATATTCTAATTTTGTATCATAACAACCAAAACCTATTAACCAATTTAATTCGACCAATCCAAATACGGCCACTATAATATATAAATCTTGTGTTGTATCACCTGTATATTTATCTATTCATGTAACACCTTATCCTTATCATTCAAATTAATTTTCTTTAGTGGCTCAACTCTAATCAAATCGTTGTGATTTGATCCGAGTTTGGTAGGCTAATTGCCTACCAAATGACATTAGTTGCTGGTTATCTAGCTTTCTTTAGTGCCTGAATTCTAATCGAGTCGTCGAGATTTGATCCTAGTTACATTAATTGGCAGATTGGCTGCCAATTTGTAATTAGTAATTTGTTGGTCACTAGAAAATTTCGAAAACAAAGAATTTTGTTGTTCAATTGACACACGTGAACACTTGGAACTACATAAATGTTCAAATTCGACATTACTCAAAGTTCTTTGGCTTGGACGGGGCATTTAGAGGGATAACATTAATGGCTGCTTCCAACCTGAATGAAGTGGCTACTTGTTTCTACAACAGAATGAAGAATCCATATACATTTACAGACTCGGACCAAAGGATAGACCAAAACAACTTGACAGTTGACGCGAGAAGGCGGCCATAACAAGCGAAGAAAGAGGGCATTATCTGCAAAAATACCTATCCAGGTAAAAAAAAAAACACACACACACATACTATGATATAAGTAGTGCAGAAAACAAGCGAAAACCTGAGCCTCACAAATCTCTCCAACTTTTACTTGAACAATCTCACTGCTCAATACCACAAATCAGTTGTTTTATGGTTAAAGATAAACAATATGAGATCAGCATTGACTTGGCAGAGATTCTAGTGCATTCAAAACATCGCATAAAGTGGGAACAAGTTAAAAGCCCCTTAGCTGAAAACCTCATAGAATTTCTCAATTACGAGCAAGCCCGAATCTATTGACTCCAACGGATCCTTCCTCAGACGGTGTCTTAAGCAATTAGGGATGACCGTGGCGATATCCTCAGGAGTCACTTTATCTCTTCCTTTAAGGGCAGCCAATGCTCTTGCTGCTCTATTCGTAACTATGTCTCCTCTTAACCCATCAACATTCAGTTCAGCACAAACCTTGGAAATCTTAACACGGAGTTCATGATCAATTGTAACAGAGGAAAGAGAGTTTCTTGCTGAGCGGATTTGCTGTTCAAGCTTTTCTTGCTCTGCCTTGTAAGATTCCCGGAACTCTTTAGGGTTCTTATCAAAACGAGCTCTCTCTTCAACAATCTTTACTCTAAGCTCAGCATCTCTCACAGTACCAACTTGCGCATGCATCCCAAAACGATCAAGAAGCTGAGGTCTAAGTTCACCTTCTTCTGGATTTCCTGAACCTATAAGAATGAAACGGGCAGGATGTGAAATGGATATTCCCTCTCTTTCAACAGTATTCCATCCAGATGCAGCAGAATCCAAGAGGACATCCACTAAGTGGTCATCCAAAAGATTAACTTCATCAACATAAAGAATTCCTCTGTTAGCTTTTGCTAAAAGACCAGGCTCAAAGGCCTTAACTCCTTCTGTAAGAGCCTTCTCAATATCAATCGTCCCACAAACTCTATCTTCAGTGGCACCTAATGGCAGGTCAACCATGTTAATTTTGGTTAATGTAATAGAAACTTCCTCGCCTTGTGAAACTTTCTCTCGGACCTCAATACCCATCAATTCTGGATCATCTGGATCTGAATTGTATGGATCACCAACAACTACTTTTATTTCAGGAAGTAAATCCACTAATGACCGAACGGTGGTTGACTTCCCTGTTCCTCTATCACCCATGATCATCACCCCTCCAATCTTTGGATCAATCACATTTAACAAAAGGCAAAGTTTCATCTCCTCTTGTCCTACAATGGCAGTGAATGGATATACTGGTCGAGCGCTGTCTGTGGAAACCTTCTGAGCCTGAAATCCACAAACTGTCAGACCGACAATGACAAACAAATTCAACATTGTCACAAAGGAACTTCTATTTCACATAATCCAAAAGCTCATTCACCCATTTACCCTTTCCTGTCCATTCCTATTTCCCACATTGTCTATCTCAAAGACAAAAGAAGAACAAATATGTAATCCACACTTTATAAATATGATTACATCAACAGCACTAGAAAAAAATCAACCTGGAAATTTTGTAATAAACCTTTATGAACAATATTTATATAATTCGTATTATCAACTAATAATCAACGCACACACGAATGATGTTCCAAAAGAATTACCTGCAATGACATCATCAAAAACTCAATGTACAGCATACAGATATTGCTATTTGCTATTCCTTCGAAGCTAATTAGATTAATGGAATAATAAAATTGAATAAAAAAAAATGTACCTGTTTCTCGGTAGGGCTAATTTCAGTGGCAACATTGGAAACTACAAGATGGAACTGTGACCTTCTCTTTACAGGCATGCCAATTCCTCCATAGAATTTCCGCCCTTGAAGAATTCCTGAAGCCATAATAAATATCAAATGGGCGTAAACTCAACAAAAAGCACACAATTCTTCTTCCTATCATTCAATTGCCTCAATGCTAATGAAATACCAATTTAATTTTTGGGAACTTGAAAAGCGAGAAACCATCAAACAATGAAATGGGTCGCCGAGAATTCACCAATCATCAGCATACGCACTCACTTAGAGAAACTTAAAAATTCAATCTTTCTCCATAACAAATACAGGGGAGTAAAGTACCTGAAGAATGAGACGATGAGGGAAGAAAGAACTTGGTTGATTGAGCCAAAAAATCTCTAGAATCCAACTTTGCAAGTGCTGATAGTGAAGTCCCCAAAGTTATAGCAGCCATGATTCTCCTTTAGGTCTTGGGTAAATGTCAGATTGAGTGCTGTAGTTGAGTGAGAACTGTGATGAACATATGTGTGATAAAAATTCAAATGACTGGTTCTGCTTTTGGGTTCTGCCCTATTGGGTGGGTTTTGGGGCAGGGGTGTGGATAAGAGGATAGATTTGTTATTGGGAAATTGCAATTTTAGTTCACAAACTTTAATAAAATAGCAGAATCGGTATCCATTTGGTGAAATTTCAGGTGCCATGTAGAAAAAAAATCTACTACCATAGGTGTTTTACTTTTTCTTAGTGCAACAACACACCAACTTTAAATTAAAAACATTATAGCTCAACTAATTTGTTAATAACTTTCCCGACAAAACTACTATTCGATCCACCTTATTAACTTGTATCTATACAGTTGAAAGAATGCGCCCAAAAGGTGTCTATTGTGTGGGAATATGGGCTTTGTGGATGATTTAGCCCCTGGATTTGTAGATATCGGTGAGAATAGTGAGTGGTATGGTTCGTGAATAAGATGAGCGGCTATTGGCATGTCGATAACTTTGCTTTGGGGAGTGTGGGCCGAAAAGGTGGCGATTGTGTGGGATTATAGAGTGTGGACGGATTTACCCTTGGTCTACGGGTGTGGGTGGGTTTGTTGGCCTAGTAGGGCACGTAAATATGTGGAACGATCGGAGGTCAGGTTGGGAATTCATGCGAGTCTACGAACTTTGTTATCGCTTTGCCCCTGGTCGTTCAGAGGGTTTGTGTTGGTTTTGTTGTTATTTGGGAGAACAGTTATCAGGCCAACAGTAAATAATGTCCGGGTGAGTCGTCGTACAAAAAGTGTGAGTGTAAGATGTTGAAGTGTGTATTTTTATTACCGAACTCCCTCTTTTGCCTCGTCGTTTAGGTGTCCTTTTTTGGATTTTCTATGTAATTACAAACGGTAAGAGGTTATATTGGAAAGATCTATTCATTTAAGGTCGAGTTTTGCGATATTAAATGAATAGTGCATTTCCCTGTTTATTTCAGCATCTTTTTTCTCCTTTAATCTTTTTCATAGTCATTTCTAAAGTAAAATCTCGCTCTCCTCTAAGAAATTTCTCTGGTTTTGTAACACTCCAGGTTTCACTAGCATGTCTCTGTATAAACCATTTTTTTAGAGCTAAAGTAAAATTTGAGACAAGCTAGTAACACCGAGATGCCTGCCAGGCTCACGCCTAACGCGCATTACAACTTAATTGTGCAGCGGAAGATTAAATAAAACCAAACTTTCATTAAAGGAAGATAACACATCAACTTCAGTCGGTACATTATCTTTTATGTATTAAACCTAACCACTACATAATATTAGAGTAAAACTCTTAACAACAACATTTTTCAACCTAATTGGTATTATAAACTGAAGTAGAGATATAGGTCATCTCAACTCCTACACAAGCGTCCTGAAACAATGTTCCTTCGATAGCAGCATATCCTTTAACATGTTCCTAGGAAGGGAAGGGGGAAATATATACATATATATTGGGTGAGCATCGAGCTCAATTAGCTTCTCACTACACTACTACGATAGTTTTAATAAAACAGTTTTAATGAAAAAAAATTATTCTCTTGTAAAACAGTTTCAGATAAAAACAATGAAACATATATATAATCAAAACACTTAACATTATCAAATAACAATAGGATGGATACAGAGATCAGGACAAGGGACCATCTCAAGCCTATATGGCACTGTAGATGGTGAACCCAGGTTAGATCACAATTGTGGGGCATTTAGCCCAACCGTTAACACTTTATAACTCTTTTCCTTATGTCTCCCTTGGTATCAACTCTTGATGACTCATGAGCATCATAACTCCAGCCAACGTAACTAGCCATCCGACCAAGCCCGATGCTTGACTCGTTTAGTTTCACTAACTACGGCAGAGCCCAACTCTTAACTTTTGTATGCACAAATAATATCTGGGGCGATGAAGTACACCACCAGAATACATTCAACAATAACATTTTAAATTCTACCGAGGTGGTAAACACCATGTGAACATTCAACATTCACTTAATCAATCATACCATCAAAACAAATATTCCACACATAAATAATTCAACTATATTTCAAATACAATAATCAAGTATAAAACATATCTCGGCAGTAAAGTACACCACCGAGTCATTCAACAATATGCATTTGATATTTCAATAGTATTTATACAAACATACTCAAGTGTGTTCTGTCTTTTGAACATATTCTCATACTGCCAGTTTTCAAAATAGTTTTACAAAGGGTGAAAATACTCATAGGTATGTGGCGCTGTCTCAATACAAGTATCACATGCGTTATATGTAACCATACATACTTAATTACCTTTTGTGATCATTATACCACTTAGGCTAGGTTCTTTCATTTTTTAACTAGATTAAATCCTGACGTTCTTAAATTAGGATTCACAAATCCTAATACCTTTTCTAATATTTCTTAAGTCTATATACTTAAGTTCTTATAAATCTTGAAACATTGAACAAATTATTATTCAAATCACAAAATAAGTTCCAAAATGTAGAACCCGTTTTTACGTTAAATTGGGAAGGGGGAGATACTGTATAAATGTAGGACGAACTAGCCCATAAATATGGTATCATTAGAAAGATCTATGAGTCTAGTTTAATATGAAACAAACGATTTCTAATATGGAGCTTCCTACAGAGAGATATTGATGTTTTCTCAAGGTTGTGCCATGCTGCCTGCATAACCTTTGCTTACGGGTTTTTACTACTTTCTATCAATTTTTACATAAGTAATTCATGTTTAAACATTCTAACATCACCCTGAGCTAAGGAAAGCATAACTATCAATTAAAATACTATCCAATCTAAAATAGAGATACGCTAAAAGAGAGTTTTTTAAAGTACCTCTCTAAGCCGAAGTTGTTTCGACGTCGTAGAGAAAGTCTTCTTCCTACCCTTTTCTTCCTCTTCCTTCCCACGTTTCTTCAGCTCTCAAAGTTCCCTTTTTTTTCTCTATTTTTTTTTTCTCTGAATTTGGTGTACTTTCCTTTCAATCGTAATGCCCCTAACACTTCTTTGCTTCACCTAGTGTAGTAGGTTATATGGTGAGTCACTATTTTTTTAGGCATCTTAGTTAGGCTTATTCAACTTTGAAGAGTTTAATAAGATCTGTGTTTTGTCTAACTCTCACTTCGCAGCAAATACAAATCTTCCACATAATCTACATAGCTTTGCTCTCTCATCTATAGGCATGGGTTTTAGGCAATAATGTGTTGCATGCTTCACCTATTTGTTTCACCTTAGTATTCACCTTAGATTAAGAGTCATTCTCCTGGATTGCCCAATGTCTCCTATATTTTGGCTTACTCATGTATTTTCTTTTTATAAATATTGTAAAATATCATTTCTTTTTCACTTACATGTTTAAGCATGTTGTCTATGATTGTCATCACCATAGATTATCATCCCCAAGCATAGGGAATTAAATTTTAAAGATTTAGTTACATTTATTTACTAGTAAAACCTACAATGTTATCCTTTCATTGGTGATTTATCAATGATGCTAAAAATGTAGGGATATTATCGGCTTTTTCCCATCGGTTATTTCTCTGTATCAATTCAGATCACATCAAGATATAACTTTTCTCTTGCTTGTTTTCGTAATGAATCATGTTTATCTATGCTTTAATTGTTTGCTATAATGATATAGAGACACATAGTTTGTTTGAAGCAGCAGATTTGGTTGCTATATAAGGCGATAATGGATACTTGTGGCTTGGGAGTGGTGTTGGCTTACTATTGACCGGGGAGGAGAAGGTGGCAATGGTTGATGGTGTTCTATGTAGGAGTGGTGTGAGATTTACTATTGAAGAGGTGAGAGAAAAGTGAACAGGAGAGAGAAATGGCGTTGAATGTGTAATTATTTTCCGGTTGTGGGAAGAATTTATTGGGGCTATAAAATGAGATCTAAATAGTTGGTCTGGCTATGGTCCGTGTGGGAAGTTATCAAATTGGTGGGGGTTTGTTGTAGGGATTAGGCGGTGAAGTGTTTTGTGGAGCTATTTCTCTGGTATAGCTTTGTTCATTCTGATGGATTCGTGTAATTTTATGGGTGGTGGTGTGTATCAGGTTGAAGGTACAAGGGGTGGCAGGTTGGGAATTAATCTTGAATTTATTTTAGAACAAGTGTGATGGGGTTTGATTTTGATCCTTCATTCGGAGCCTAAAACCTATAACTATTTTTTTTTTCTAATAAAAGTTGAAGCATTAAAACAAAGGAGAATGATAATCACATCCATCACTGCAACAAAAGTTTAGAGTTATAAAGAAATCAATATTGAACTACATATGAGATACGAGAAAGATGACATCCACAAGATTACGTCGATTACAACAGATTTAATCCGTTTTGCCTTGAAGATGAAATCAAATTTTTAAACCCCATCGCAAGACCGGTTGGAACAATTCAGTGGCCAAACATTGATCCCCTTTAAAATTGTTCAACGGCTTTGGCTATACAACTTTTACAAATGATATACTTTCATGGCCTTGTTATTCCCTCCAACTGAGGGATATTTTTATGGTTGCACCCTTTCGTTAAAACCTTGTTCGCAGATAGATCAACTAGGTTGGAAAGCAATGAAGAACGTATGTCCGTTTTAGGTTGATGATGGAATTTGGATTGACAGATAAGTGTATTGGCAAATTGATAAGTGCTACAACTGTTAGAACTGAATTCAACAGAGTTGATGGTTTCATTTGACTCTAAAATTGAAACTTTTCAAGTAATTCATGCTCCAAAAACTCCAATGTTCTTTACTTTGAATAGTTTCCCCAAAGTGAAGATCTTGGATTATTGAGGAACTATGTGCATAATTGAGGAAAATAACACTTATATGAGAGGTCTAAAGTTTGAAATGTGAGCTTAGGAACTAAGCGACAAAGAACCAGGAAGTTGGAGATGGAAAAGAGTATTTGAAAACAGAACTTTTCCAGAGCCAGGTCTATACGTTCCTCCTGGTACTTGTCCATACAATAGGGAATGGTATTATCCTGCCAACTCAACTACAAATCCTCTCCCACTGGAAAATTTATTTTAAAGGGTTTTTGTCCATTACATCTTCAACTGTATAGTCCCAATAACAAGAATGTTAAAAATATTATCCACCCTCCTGTATTTGATCACAGTTATGTCATTACAACATGCTACTATTGGAGGACATTAACATATTTGTAAATGTACCTGTTTTTGTTGTTGATGATTTTTTTTATTTAATCAAAACCTTAATTTATTTTGGTTTCAAGGGATAATGTTTTTCTTTTAATACTTTAATTCAGGATTGTTGTTGTTCTAATTGTAAGAAAGGCTAAAAAGTATGAGTTGTGGTATATTGTTTATTGGTGATTGCCAGGTTGCTCTTGTCCTGGGAACAAAATTGCTAAGTGCATATTTTAATTTGTTGATATCTTTTGTCTAGGTGATTGACCGTTTTTAAGAAAATTCCCATAATATGGGTTTGTATAAATAATTGAGAAGGATAAGTTCAGGTCATACTTGCTAAGAATGAAGGTGATTGTGTACACTGATCATGCTACTATCAAGTACTTGGTGACCAAGAAAGATTCAAAGTCCAGGTTGATCACATGGATCTTGCTTCTGTGAGAATTCGACATGGAAATTAAAGATAGAAAGGGTGCTTTGAATCAGGTGGTTGGTCATCTGTCAAGACTAGAAGGACAACAAGAAGATCCTGAACCAATTCAGGAAAAGTTTCATGATGAGACACTCTGGGGAGTGGAGGCGATACTCGCCCAAGTGACAGACAACATACCCTGGTATGCAAATTTTGCTAACTATGTTGTATTCAATATCATTCAAGCAAATATGAACGAAAAACAGAGAAGGAAGTTCCTCTATGAAGCTAAGTCATAATTTTCATATCTATTTAGAATCTGTGCTAATAAACTGATCAGAAGATGCATACCAGTAGAAGAGACAAGAGAAATTCTGGAGAAATTTCACTCATCTCCCTATGGAGGCCATTTCAGTGGACAAAGAACTATAATCAGTTTTTTTTTTTTTTGCCTATTTTATTTTCTGATACTAACAAGTTTATTAAAAGTTGTGATAAATGTCAAAGGTCAGGAAATATGTTATAGAGGAATGAACTGCCACAACAGATATTACTGGAGGTAGAGTTGTTTGATGTGTGGGGAATTGATTTCATGAGACCTTTTGTATCATCAAGCAACAACACATGCATCCTCCTGGCAGTAGACTATGTATCCAAATGGGTGGAAGTAGCAGTTGTGCAGTCTAGTGATGCTAAAACTATGACCAGATTCCTAAAAAGGAATATCTTCACTAGATTTGGCACTCCTAGAGTGATCATCAATGATGAAGGATCACACTTCTGCAACAAAAACTTTTCAGCTCTGGTTAGAAAGTTTGGAATCCAACACAGAGTTTTCACTCCATACCATCCTCAGACAAATGAACAAGCTGAAATGACCAACAGAGAAATTAAGAGAATCTTGGAGAAGGTGGTATGCAGTACAAGAAAGAACTGGGCATTCAGACTTGATGATGCTTAGTGGGCTTACAGGACAACATACAAGACGCCCGTAGGCATGTCTCCATTTAGAATGGTCTATGGAAAGGTTTTTCACCTGCTTGTTGAGCTGGAACACATACCTTTCTGGGCTATCAAGGAATTAAACTATTAAACAGAAGCTGTAATTGGAAAGAGATTGCTGCAACTGGATGAAATAGAAGAATTCAGGTAGAATGCATATGAATCATCCATGTTGTACAAGGAAAGGACCAAAGCCTACCACGACAGAAGATTGATGAAAAAGCAGCTAGAAGAAGGTCAGATGGTGTTATTGTATAACTCTAAATTGAAACTGTTTCTAGGTAAACTCAGGTCAAGGTGGTTTGGTCCCTTCGAAATCAAGAAGATCCTGAATCAAGGAGCAGTAAGACTAGCTAACTTGGAAGATGGCAATACATTCTTTGTCAATGGACAGAGGTTGAAGCCATACAATCCAATGCATAAAGTAGAAATGTAGCACACGGATGTGTTGTACCTCAAGGTAACAAAATGAAGACATCAAGGGGTCTGGTATGAGACTCTAAACCAATGCGCTGCTTGAGAGGCAACCCAAGGCAATCTATTTTGTTCTTCTAATTTTTAGCTCATTAATCTTTTGTTAATTAACTCAATCTGTGCAAGCATTCAGAAAGAGTGGAAACACTCTTATAAAAAACTTTCAGGTGGAATGTACAGGTGTTGATTTGAAGTGCCTTCATTATTTCAAAACAACAATAGCAATTTGGATCAGTATCTAACAAATGTGGGAAAAGATACGGTAGTTTCACTCGGGCGAGTGATTTACTCACTCCCGCAAGTAATTAATTGACCAAATAGCCGGAAAGTCCATTCATTTTTCTGTTAAGAGTACAAGGAGGAGGGAAATTCATTTTAAATGCTCTGATGTGATTGGCGGGCAGAGTAGTCAAGAATAAATGATGCAGAGCCTGGGGAAGTAAAACATTCCCACTTTAACTAAAACTGCAGCCCACGTCCCCAGTATACCAATCCTTTCACATTCTCATCGCCTCTTTCACCTTCCACAACAGTTTTCCCCTTCCGGCTATTTCAGATATCATAACCAGAATACCCCTCCTCCAATCAAATTTTATTATCAGGGAACGAAAAATGGCAAGAGTAAGAAGACCATCAAGAAGAGGTGTGGTCCAAATCCAAGGAATTAATGGGAATAATGGTTTCACCAAATTTTCCGGCACAACCTACACGAACACAACGGTTGGTGCATCACGACATAATCGGAGACATTAAAAATTCAAGGTTGGTGCCTTACCCAGCAACGACAGAATTTTTCCAGCGACACTGGGAAAGAAGACCCAATCTCAGTGCAGCACGAGAATTCTACAGCAATATGAGGGGGTCCAAGGTGATGAAATAGCAGTGAGAGGGAGAATAGTCAACATCAGCACGGCGATGATCTGGGAATTTCTTCAATTTCATATGGTTGGTTGTATTATTCACATGGTGCACATATCAAGCCATGGATGATATTCTGGAGGAAGTATTGCCATACGCGTTATGTGCAAATCCTCCAGATGTAGTATGGACTAAACGCAATGGCATTCTTAGGTATTTCTCGGCTTCCGATCTACGGCCGGAATATAAGCTCTGGTACAATCTGATATGCACCAACTTCATGCCAACCCACTATCGCCAGAAGGTGACTTATGAGGTGGCACTTTTGCTCTTTGCCCTAGTTCTCAACATCCCAATCGGTTCTGCAGAAATCATTAGACAATAGATGAATATCTGTGTGGCCGACCAAAGGGAGAAAAATTGGTTCTTTCAAGTCCTAGCCACCAGATTAATGCAGCGAGCAAATGTGCAGTTCTTGAACACTGATGTCAGAGGAGAGATTCCACCATCTTGGCACTTAGAAGGCCCACCCCATCCCTTTGAAGGAATGAACCCCTGATCACCCATGGAAGTTTTTCTTTTCTTTTCTTTTCTTTTCTATTTTTTGCATTTCTGTATAGTTGAGTCTTTTTGTTTTGTCTGTGTTTTCGAGTGTTTTGCATGTTTTCTTGTATATATTTGTGTATTTATCATCTCTCCTATTCCTTTGTTTGTCAGCATTGAGGATAATGCTTATTTTAAGTTTGGGGCTGTGGGATTTGTATGATTTGTATACATGTGTTTGTTTGTGTTGTTAAAACTGTGACAAGAACATTTTTTTTTAAAAAAATGCAAAATGCTATGTTTTTATGTGACTTTGAACAAGTTCTGTAAATGTTGTGTGTCAAAAGTCTATGATAATTCCAACAGTGCAGGAAATTTTAAAATTTTGAACACATGTGATTCACTTTAGGCAGCGCATAGTTTATCACTTCCTCAAGCACAATGTGTCACTTGTCAGACTAAAAGTTCTGAGCTCAATGTTAAAATCTTGGATACTTTAATTGCATTGTTGTGATCTTGTGCCTGTTTCTGCTTACTTAAAGAGTTGTGGGAAAATAAGAAGCTGAGATAAATTAAGGTAGCCCTTCGCATCATGGTAGACTCTAAAAGAGCCCATAGTGGTCTGTAATAGCCTATGAAACCTTGGGAAAATAAGGAGGTGTTGGCGGTTGAAACTGAGGATAGGTGTTGAAAATTGTAATGAGGAAAGAATGGAAGCCTGTCCAATGAGGCAGTGAAAGCCCTGAGAGGTGAGGCTTGGCAAATAAAGAGCGGAGAGTCCTCAGGCCTATCGGTGAGAAAAGAAAATAGAGTAGATTACCATAAGTTGCTTGAAAAAATGCTCTTGGTAAGGTTCTAAGTGGGAAAGAGTCCCGAAGAAAAGCCGTATGGGCCACGATACAGAATGTTATAGAGGGAGAATTGTTGTTGCTGCAATGTCAGATGTGGGAGGAAATCCTTGGTCTAATAAGTCTCAGCATAAAAGCCCCTTGTTTGAAAAGTAAAATGCAGGAACAAGCACTGATTACAGGAATTTCCATCTGATCTCAAACTGGTAATTTCTTAGAATGGACAATAGGTAAACTTGAACTTTGGCTGTGATATATACACACACATTGTTGAACTGTGTTGTTTATTTTGTGTGATTAACAATAGTGTATAATGTGTCCATAAAGGGACCTGAATCTGAGACCAACATTGATAAAATTCTGTATTTGCTCTTGTTTACTTAGACACATTCTTTTCTTGTCACTGTCATTTAACTTGTCCATGAGAATGTTCATTTCTAGTCCTTCTTTCTGAGTCCTTGTGTTGAGTCTTTTCGTGTGTCCAAGTCAGTAGAAATTGAGTCTGAATCTGTTTGCTTGAGGACAAGCAACTCTTCAAGTTTGGGGGAATTGATAACACTTAAATTTGACCCCTTTTATCAAGAAATTCTTATTCATTTTTACTTATAAATTAATGTCAATTAGGTAGAATTAGTTTACTTTTAGGTTGATTTTACATTTCAGGGTGATCAGAGGGCCAAAGTGGAAAATGCTGAAAATATTAGGCCAAAAGGTGGAAAATAGCTTTAAAAAGTACCAGAATTGGAACTGCTGGAAATTGAGGCTGAGTTTATCGAATTAAGGAAAAAGAAGAGTTTAAATCTTGTTGCTAAAGGAAAGGAATGCTACCACCATTGCAAGTTGTTATTGCTGCAAGTGGAATAAGAGAAAGAGGAAAAATATGAAGAACAAAGTTGCACCCATTCTGCTGATTGCCAATGCTGCTACCTTCGATTGAATTGAAGGAATGGCTGCTGATGGAGGCAAGAGATGGTGTTGCAACAAATGATTCCAGGAAACAAGGAAATGAAGAGCAGAAGATTGGAGTTTAGATTGGAGGCTGAGGCAGAAGAAAGAAGGAGGGAACATGATGATTAAAGAAAAATAGGCTGCTGATGCTATTTGCTGCCTCTGCTGCTAATGGAGGCTGAAGATTAAAGAAAGAAAAAAAAAGGGAGAGAATTGGTGGCTAGAAATGAAGCAGAGCCACCGGAGAAAAAGACTAAAGGAGAAGGCCATGATCAGCAGAAGCTGACTGTTGCGGCTGAAGAAGAAAAAGACGACCAATCAAAATGAGGCAACTTGGCAAATTGATAAGTTGCCCAAATAAACAACTCCTCTCTCGGCTGCAAGTTGTTCCTCTGTTTTGTTGAAGAGAAGAAGACCAGAAGAAGCAACAATCCAAGCCACTCCAAATCTCTATAAATAGTACAACCAGTAGCAGTAGAAAACAACAGATTGGGAAGTTAGAACATATCCAAAAAGTGTAGTTTTAGTTAGTTAGTTAGGACAAAACATAGAGAGTAGTAGTAGGAAGAGTGCAGATTGTCACTCGAGCAAGTGACGCAGTTCACTTCCCCAAGTGAGCAGATAGAAGCTACTCTATCGTTTTGTATGGATAATGCTGAATCTTTTGTCTTTGATTGCTCTCATGTTTAACTGAATAAACATGAGTATCTAAACTCTTATTAGGGTCTAATCCCTACTATTTATATGTGAATGTTTTGATTCAAAGTTCTTATATGAAGCGTTGTACCTAGTTTTAACCTTTAAGTTAAACTAGCCATTTAGCTAATTGTGCATGCAAAATCATAGAATCTTGAGAGAGTGAACATAGTTTTGGAATTGCTTGAATTAGTCTATGACAACGGGGATAACAACCCTTGGTTTCAATCATGAATGAGAGTTAGTTGATTAGTATAGGTGATCACCAAGGCTTAAGAAATCAATGGCTCGGAGTATAGATGGAGGTAATTTGGTTATGCAGGGACTCTTTACTGGTATCGAAGGTGAAGGTAGAGAATACAAGTGTCTGATCAGACAATGCTCATATGTGCAAAAAGAATTACAAGAATCAATACATGATAATATAGATAGGAAGGAGGATAACCCTAGTTCTTGAAAACTTTACGAAATGACTTTCTCACTTTTCCGAGTGATAATCTGTTCTGTTTTAATTTTCTTGTTTAAACTTCGATCAGATTTTATTGATTTACTGCCGTCCCTGTGGATCGACCCTGTTTACTGCTTATTATAAATTTTGAGTAGGTTAATTTTTTTTTGGAGGTGTGAACGACCGTCTACCAATATACTGGGATTAGTTATAAAACCTATGTGACTGTTTTAGGCTTTCAGCCATGAATTTGTCAAAGTTAATTGAAAATTGAAACAATTTTTGGGCCCTTTTCTTTCTACAATGTTTAGCCTACAGAAAAACCGATGCCATGACCACAAGAGAACCATTTTCATATACAATCAAAATGGCCTTCAACCTTTATTGATGTTTATCATATTTTCTTTGTTCCAATTTGAAAGTTAAAATATTTCATACGGAGTAATGTTTACAGTTTTCTTTGTAACCTATGAGACAATAGTTTTATTTTCTATACCACTTGCGAGAGAGCTGAACTATTTTAAGAATAAGGTGGTTACACGTGTCTCAAATTTTTTGCTCTTTTATATTTAATTTTTAATTGTTCATCACAACCACCCCATTCAATTTTACCAAAATAAAAAAAGACATTAATAGTATATTTCTATCCCGAATAATTGTCTAGTTTAAAATTTTATTTTACATCAAACTAGCTATATTAATGTAAATTTTATAGCTAGTTTGATAAAATAAAATTTTGGTATTCATTCCGAAATATATATACCAAGTACTGTCACAAGTTTGGTAGTCATTCCGACACGAGTTTGTCTTTCACAGACTTACAATTGTTTTAGTTCTTTCACCTTCTTTCTATCATTAATTTTGATTTTCTGTTTATGGTGAAATTTTGATACTCTCGCCATGATAATATGAAGCACATAACAGTTAATTTAATGAGATTATTAATCTATTAAGTAACAGAAATTGAAAGGATAATTGGTGACTATGAACATAGAATTCATTTATTCAAGTACATCTTCTTCTTTTTTTTAAAAAAAAAAAATCTAACATTATGTGTAATTGTAAAATTTTTTTCTTTTGGTTTGGTATTCCTTTTTGAAGCATTAAATTTAGTTTTTTTTTTCTTAATCTTTTCTTATGCAAAAACTTTGGGATTTAATACTTTCAGAGTAAAATTTGAGTGGTTGATAAAGTAAAAAAAAAAAAAACAGAATATACAATATGATTAAAATACAAAAAGACTTAGAAGTTACGATATGAAAGTTCATTTCTACTGAAATAATTATTTATTATTAGGTGAATTTTTTATTTATCAGATAATAGTTTTAATTTTCTACTTTTCTCATCTCTCTAAAATCTTGATTGTCTTTTCTTCTTCTCTTTTTTTTTTTGAATTTAATGATTTCATGAATGCGAGGTTAATGAATTGTTCTATAACTTAAAAGAGTTTTGTTTCCTAAATTTATCGATATATAATCCTCAATAAAGAGAGTTTTGTCATTTCTTTGTTTTTTCCCCCTTTCAGACATTTGCTCTCTAAACATCGCGATCTCTCCATCCCAAATTCTTGAAAGTAGCTAACAATTAACTTTGTGTTCGTCATCCACTTTGTCTTCCCCAATTTTGTTTTCAACTCTTACCTTTTTAATTAATGTCGTAACCTTTTCAAAGATAGGTTATTGTAATTTTCTAATTCCCTTATTGCATTTACATATGAGTAAGTCGTAAGTACTACTGCTCACTGTATCCGATATTTGTTGTTGTAACTTGTATATGATCCCCATCAAGTGTTGCCCGGGTTCCACAAAAAAAAAAAAGAAAGGCTATTGTAATTTCATTTTTGACGTTTTTTTCTTCTTTCAATTAGTTCCTTTGTTTTGTTTTTTCTTTTTTCAATTGTGGTGAACAAATTGATTTTGTTCTACTTTCCACTTTATATGAGTATTTATTTTCTTTTTGTTCAAAATTGAAAGACTATTTATGGTTACATTATATTTACGAAGAATTTTTTTAGGATTAATAATTTTGTCGAGATTTTTTATTTATTTATTATTAGATAGTATAATGAAAAATAAAATGACTCCCAAATCTTTTTATTATTGAAAACAACGATAATAGATACTTAGAAAAAAACTAATAGTGACTGATGTGTACTTAATAATTAGGAATAAAGTGTAATTTTATTAGAAGAATAAAATTTTAACCGGAAAGTGGTAACAAAATCGGGTATCAGAGTATTCTGTATTAAACATTCTCACCGCTTAAATCATTATCTTTTATTTTCATTATATAATTTTTCGATTAAAAATTCATGTTTTTCCTTTATATATAATTTTATATTATGTCATATACAATCTATGCATCCATCTAGTACAAAATGAATACCCCTTCGGTCCCAAGATAAAATGGAGATTAGTAGTACTATAATTGTACCATGTAGGATTGTATAGTCAAATCCAATAATTAAGGTAAAACAGTAATTTTGAAAAGAAAAAACTTTTACGGAAGTTTTATTAATAAAATAGGAGTTTTTAGTACTTGTTCCAAAAGCAAAGATACAGTACATAAGTTTTGCACAATATTTTTATTTTCATACAAGAATTAGTTTTTATTTTAATTTTACATTTTTCACCAAAAAAAAAAAAAAACACAAAGATACATAAGCTGTACACAATCTATTTTTTTCGTAGACTAGTACTCTTTACTCTTTAAAAGAGGACCGTCGGATAAAATGGACATAATTTGACAAGAAAGTGGAAAAAAAAAAAAAAGGATAAAATGGACACAAGAACACAAATCTCATCCACCCTTATCATGGTGAGAGGTCATCGCTGCAGCTTTGAAAACCAGAGTAACGCCTCTTTTTTTTTTCTTTCTTCTTTCATGGCTTTCTCCACGACTTTTCCAAATGGATATTGCTCATACATCTCCTCCTCTAGAACTCAAACAAAAATAAACCCATCAACACTCCCATCTCGATTACCTCTAATAATCAGAGCAGTGAATTCATCTGAACCAGCCAATGAATCGGAGGCTAAAACTCCACAAGTTTCCACCAATTCTCAACCTGCCACCAGCGCCACCAGTACTCCTCCTCCTCCTAAGCCCAAAAAGCCGGTGTATTCGAGTAAGTTTGTCTGTTCTTTTGTTGGAGGAAGTTTGTTCAGTTTACTCGGAGAGTATTTAAGAATGAGTTTTATTTGCTCTGTTTTCTCTTCCCCTGTTTTTGTTTTTCCGCAGTGAAAAAGGGTCAAATTGTGAGGGTGGATAAGGAGAAATATCTCAACAGTGTCAATGTGAGCCTCCGTTTCCTTGATCCGAAAAATGCAGTTTCGTAATGTCATCTCATTGTATCATTAAGTTTCAAAACTGAAGTCAGTAACTTCGCATAAACTAATGATTGGGGATACAATTGATTAACATGTGGACGTTTCTCTATATGTTACTGAATTCAGTAACTTCGCATAAACTAATGATTGGGGATACAATTGATTAGCATGTTGATCATCTTTCACATTTTAATTGCTAATTCTTACAATCGGACTTCGATTATTTTGATTAATTTCTTCGAATTTCAGTATTTATCGGTTGGTCACCCACCGTTTTACAAAGGTTTGGATTATATATATGAAGACAGAGGGGAGGTACGTACTATGTTCATTTGGCAGCATCATATATACGACAACAAGTTTTCATTTTAATTTTTACAAATTATAATTAAAACTTTATCTCCAAAAAAAAAAAATGAGTACAAATATGTTTTGTGAAGGTGCTGGACCTGCGGATCTTTGAGACAGGAGAATATGCATTAGTAAGTGTTTATCGCTTATCAGTTTTCACATTTCTTTTCTTTTCTTTTTCGTTCTCTTTTTGGTTGGGTGATTCTTAACTCGCATGCACCAGAAATCAATTAGGAAAATATTACAATACTAAATTAAGAAAAAAAATCAAACCAGCAGAGGAAGGTTACCATCTGATAAAACTTTGTCCTTCAACTATTCATATACCCGTTCGATCTCATAAAAATTGACCATTTTGTAAGTTGTACTATTTTAGTACAATTTATAATTTCAAAATATACTATTTTTGTGAGATAAATAAAGTATGCCATATTCTTACTACCAGATGAGATTAATTTTTTTTTCATAAAAAGAAAGAAAGAAAAGAATCTATCAATGTATATTTTGATTAAAACCTCCCTTGCATGTTTGGAAAAGATTAGTATTTAATTCTGAGTGCTTATTACTATATTAGAAATACTTAATTATTAAGTAGTTACAGTACATGTAATAAGTTAACTTTTATTATTTATATTTTGTATTACAATTTTAGCACGACTTAATTCATTAAGAGACTCATTTTTTGTTATCAGATATGATGATTGAGAAAAATGTTTAATCTTATAATTTTAAACATTAAGTGACATTACAAACATGCCCTTTCTTCAATACAATCAATTGTTTGAGTTAAAATATACATTGACAGAATCTAGGGATTCTCAATTGAAGAACAGAGAAAACTTGAAATGAAATAACGAAGTATGAAACTTAAGAGTTTCATTTAATCTTTTGGCAGATTGGATGGGTAGGAATTCCAACAGCACCAGCTTGGCTCCCGACAGACATGCTTATCAAGGTATCATTTATATCATTATTTTTTAAGTGTTCCCTCCGTCTCATAATTATTGTCCTGTTTGAGTTTTCATTTTTAGTTCAAATTGTACTAAAAGTGAAAACCTAAATAGGACAATAATTATGGGAGGGAGGGAGTATTAAATATTTCCACTATTTTTATAGTTCCAAGATTTGCCATAACCAAAATCTGCAATTCGAAACAAATTTAATTTCAATACTCAACAAAAGTAATTTTACATATTAAGGTTAATTATAGTTGACGAAAAAAGTAGCTCAACCCCAAAAATAGTTCACCACGTTAAAGAAAACGATATGACACAATAATGTTTTTTTTAAGAGAGATAGAGTTTTAAGTAGTGTTATGTATACAAGCAAATTGAGATATTAAGTAACATAATTTTGTGTTTTTCTTTGACTATAATTCTTTTCTTTAAAGCTTCTTTTATTAGAACTTATACAAGTTATTAAAGCTAGTAAGTTATCTTCCTCTTGTCCGAAAAGTAGTCAACTTTGTTAATAAATGTAATATAATAAAAATGATTATTTTCCTTAGACCAAAAGATTATGAGTTGTACATTTTCAAATTTAAAACTGTGTTTTAGGACAAAGGTATCATGTTACAAGTAAACAACTAATATACTATTGAAAGGAAATGGGGGTGATAATCAAAGAGACAACACAAAAAATACTAAAGAATAAAGATGAAAGATTTATGAACTTTATTGTTAGAAACTTGAATCTAATAATAATGGGGGAATCACAAGATTTAGATGTATTCTAATCGTGTTAGACACTGTCCATAAGACAATATTTGCCCCCTCCATATTGCAATACCAGGTTTGTTTGACAATTTACCTTTAGGATATAAAGAACACAAGAACATGAAACTTGTAATTATTGAATGTTCTCAAGAATTTAGGAATGCAAAAGTTAGAATAAAATCATGCACTAGTTCATCTGTTTATAGGCAGCACTTGCAGAAACCAAGGATACAAATTAAGTACACAACCCTTGGCTTGTAGGAAATAACCACCATGCAAGTGAATGGTTGCCAACTTAATTATTATCCTTAAATTCTAAATTAACTATTTTATTTTACAAACTAAAATTTCCAACACAAGAGAGGAAAAGGGTTATTTTATGTAATGTAGAGTTTTGAAGTTTATATTGCTTGACGGATTAATTTATACATCAATTATTTTGGAAAATTGAAATTTGTTGTTTATATGTTTGTTACATTTACTATTTACTGATGATAATTATGGATGATTTGTGCAGTCTGATAAGTTAGACTATGAAAGAATATGATTACAAAGGTGTTATCACCCAGTCGACCTCATTTCTAGCACGACAGGAATTTGGTCCACGAGAATGGCATTTCAAGGGCATATTTTCCTAAATAAATATTCTTTTTCCAACTTTTCAAGGGCCATTTATTTTATCTGAAAATTATTTATAGAGTTACTATACTGTAAGCAGCATATGTAATCTTCCATTTCGATCACAAGCTGTTGATATGATTCTCCTAGCAGGCTTTATATTTTCTTGTTTTTCAATATTAAAGTGATGCATTCCAAATAATATTGCACATATTGAAAGGCTTTTTTTTGTTTAAAAAAAAAAGAAATTAAGTGGTGTTATTTATTTTTCTGTTTTGGTAGAACAGGAGTTGTTCCAACAACAGGCAGCCCCAAAAGACAAAATTAGAAAGTTGCATAGACTTACTCTTTTAAAGGGTTTTATTTATTAATTTTTTTAAACAGAAATTATGTATGCAAAATTGAGTCCTATAGTTTACTAGGAGGCTTATCATTGATGTAAGTCCATTTGCCTAACGGATGGAGTTGCACGCTACGCCATAGCATTAGGCTTGCTCACGATTTGATTAGGGGTAAAATGATACATTCTATATTGCAAACATTCTAGAATCCACACATAATGGACGATTGTTAGATTTGTTGGAAGAAAAACCTTCGAATTTTCCCTACTCATGTCTTTTAATTAGTTCCTGTGTTTGATTACTTTCTTTTAATAATTTTTTTTTGGGTTTGTTTACTTTAGTGCAGTAGACTCTAGAAGGATAGTTAAGAACCAAAAATAAGTTTTTATGGTTAAAATTCGAAGGTTCTTGAATCTAACTCATCAACTATTTATACAAAAAGATTTATATATAGACTAATTTACCCTAAGTATGCATGATTAGTATTAATTCTGACTTAGACTGAATTAATCTAAACGATGCCGTTTCCTTGATTATTTTGAAAACCCACCGACTGACTTTTGGCGTGCATGACAATCCTTCCTCCTTAACAAAGCGTGCCTCAAGTTTTGAAATTTGGAAACTGCCCCGTAATGGAACCTTGATCTTCTCAGGAAGCATTTTCAATCTCCAAGCCCCTCCATTTAATCAACCATTGGATAACATCATCATATCCTCTCTTCACAAACGGGCGTTGCAGCACTTTTTTAGGTTCCAACAAACAGTCATGGTAATCATCCAACTCTGGCAAATCATATACTGCACTTGGAGTTGGACCAACATACCTTTTGAGCAAGGAAACATGAAAAGTAGGATGAACTCTTGATCTTTCTGGCAGCTGAAGCTTATATGCTACATTGCCAACCTTCTCCAACACTTGGTAAAGGCCAAATTTTTTATTCTTATTTTTTTTAAGAGAATCGGGACGGTAACTTACGGGCATTCTCCCGATTTTATTAATTTGAAAAAAAGAGATTAGACAGACAGTGCTTAAGACTTACCCAAATGGAAGAGTTAGTCGTACAAAGATTTTCTAAAATCTCATGACTGTTTCACTTCTAGTACTAAGAGAATGCCTTACAAAGATTGTACTATAATACCATGGCATTCTATTTTTAAAACTTATGCTAAGAGAGAGTCTTACAAAGGTTAAACATAAACTCCACGACTTCTCTAGTTCCTTAGTCTACTTTACCTATTTTCTAGATTACATTCACTAACTAACTAATTCTTAGGAATGGAAAAGCACATTTGTCTAAATACCACTTAACTCTCAACAAGTTAGGGAGATCCTCTTGCGAATCATATTGAGTGGTAACTCTTCTGGAGGATTGTTTGGCTAAAGCATCCGCCATACTGTTCACTTTCCGCAAGATATGAACTATTCTCGAATTGGAAGTCTTCAGTATTTGTCTGATCTGTTTGAACTTTGCATTATAGTGCCAGGTTAGAGCTTTCTTGTTCTTGAGAATTTGCACTATCGTCTTGCTATCCATTTGGACTACCACTTGAGATATTCCTCTGGCCCTGCATGCCCTTAAACCATTAAGAATGGCTTCAATTTCTGCTTCGAAACTCAAAGCTTGTACCATATACTGACATTCTGCTCTTATAAATTTGCCTCTTTCCCCTCGCAAGACATATCCCCATCCAGTTTCACCGGGCTGACCTAAAGCTGACCCATTTGTATTCAATATTGTTTCTCCTGGCTCTAGTGGTTGCCATCTCATAGAAAGAAATGTTTTGAGCTTTGGAGCCAAGACTTTTGCATTAAAAATCCTTTCTAAGCCTCGCTTCTCTTCATTTGTTCTTGCTCGAATCGTGTGGACACTCAACAAATTTGAAATGTGAGCTTTAACATTTTGCACAAGAGCATCCGAGAAGAAATTTGTATCTTCGTAGAGCAACTTGTTGCGAAACTTCCAGATCTCCCACATGAGAAAAATAAGAAGCACCATTTGAATAGTCCGCTTAGCTGTGGTATAGCTTCTCTTAGAATTCCAAACTTGTATATTGCTCCTCCATCCTACATGATTAGAAGAAGAAATTCCTAAAGATGATGCAAAGTAAATCCGAATCGGTTTTACCTTTGCACAATGATAGAAAGTATGATCTATGATTTCTTCTTCCTCACAACAAAACAGACATCGTGATGGTCTCGCATAAATTCCCATTCTCTGCAAAATTTCAGGAAAAGGAAGAAAATTATTAAAGAGTTTCCACATAAAAAAAGGATATTTTAATTGGTAAAACTTCGTTCCAGAAATTTTTAAGTAAAAGAATCTCTTCTCTTTTTTCGCGCAAATCCGAGTAAGCTGATGTAGTGAAATTCCCCCTTGGATTTGACTTCCATACAAGTTTGTCTTGCTCTTCAACAAAGGTCATCTCCATTGCATTTAACTTGCCCACCAGGTGAGGATCTATTAAACCTGCAAATTCCTGTAAAAAAGAAGATTTCAAACCAAAAAATTCCTTAACCGTTAGTTCTGGCCTTGGAGGAGCTGCCTCATCTCTCCATAGAATGCCTTCATCCAGCCATTTGTCAAACCAAAAAGAAGATGCTCCATCATTTATGATCTTGAAACTGCTCTCCATTGCCTAAATTCCCACCTTTAGAACCCGCTTCCAATTTATTTTAGACTTAGCTGAATCAGATAATGATGTAACAAATCTAGCCCAAACACCTTGATCATGTTGAATCTTCCATCAGAGCTTGAGGGAAAAAGAATTTAAAGTGTCCTCCAGCTTCCGAAACCCTAACCATTCTCCACGACCGGAAATGTAAGACGACTCCAAGCTCTCCAATGCCGTTTATATCCTAAATCATTTTCACCCCCGAAGAAAAAAATTGACACTTCCTTTCGAGAGCTTCCAAGACTGATTTTGGGGGCGCAATTGCTGCTATAGTATGGATTGGGATAGCAGATAAGACATGTCTTATTAACGCTATCCTCCCTCCCACCGACAACATCTTGTTTTTCCAATTTCCCAACTTAGCATCAAAATCATCCAAAAGGTGCTGAAAGTATTCTACTTTCTTCCTCCCTTTAAAAAGATTACACCCTAAGTACTTGAAAGGGAGAGCCCCTTGCGGCATTTGTAGGATTTGCGCCACCATTGCAACATGATTAGCACTACACTTTTCTGATACCAAAAACATGCTTTTCTACTTATTCATCTTTTGCCCAGTAGCTGCCTCGTAGTCTTGGAAAAAATCATTTAGTTGCATCATAGAACTTCTAAGGCCTTTCGTGAAGATAATGAGGTCATCCGCAAAGCATAAATGCGATACAATTTTTGACCTAGCTGGAACACCATACAATGCTATTTTCCCATTGTCGGCAAGTCTCTTCATATTTCTTGTAAAAGTTTCTGACAAGATTATAAACAAAAAAGGCGATAAAGGATCACCTTGCTTGATCCCCCTTGAAGCTTGAAAATATCCTGCTGTACTTCCATTTAAAAGTATTGAAAACCAACTCCTTGTGAGATTAGACATCACTAAAGCCACAAAGTGTTGATGAAAGCCAAATTTCAGCATAATCCTTCTCAGAAAGTCCCATGAAACTCTATCAAATGCTTTCATCATATCCACTTTTAGAATTAAATTTCCACCTCTTGCCGGATGATCCAAAAATTATAGAAGATCTTGCATTAGGAGAACATTATCAACAATATCTCTTCCACTTAGAAAAGCCGATTGTTCCTCGGATATAAGCTTTGGAAGCACCATTTTCAATCTCTCAGTTAGAAGTTTTGTCATGATTTTATTTATGAAGTTGCATAAGCTGATTGGCCTGTAGTCTGCAAAAGATGTGGCCGTATTTTTCTTCGGGATCAAAGTAATAACGGTGCTAGTAATTGCCCTAGGAAGTGAGACGCCCATCATAAATTCCTTGCAAGCCACTTCCAAATCTTCACTAATGATGTTCCATCAATCCCTGGAGCACTCGAAGGATCCAAATCAAAAACCTCTTGGTTTATTTCCTCTCTTGTCAATGGCACTGGTAAAGGCCAAAATATCTGTTCATAAACTTCAATATACTTCTGGACACCAATGTCTGCTATTTGTAGGGCTGTAATTTTAGATACACAAAGTCACCAACCTGAAATTCCCTGTCTGTTCTCAACAAATCAACATTTTGCTTCATCCTTTATTGTGCTTTAGAGAGGTTTTCCTTGAGGTTTTGCAACACCACCTATTTCTGATGCAAAAAGTCAGCTATTGCAGGAATCACCATGTCAGTATATGCACCCAACGGAATTCCCACTGGTTGATAACCATACAATGCTTGAAATGGAGTCATCTTTGCACTAGAATGAAAAGTGGTATTGTACCACCACTCAACTAGATCCAATCATTTGGACCAAGTATTAGGTGAAGTCCTACAAAAGCATCTTAAGTAGCTTTCCAGATATTGATTCAATCTTTCTCTTTGTCCATCAGTTTGTGTATGATAGGCGGTAATCAAGTTCAAGAAAACTCCAAGTGCTTGAAATAAAGTCTTCCAGAAATGGCTTGTAAAGATCTTGTCACGATCAATTACAA